TCTTGCAAAAAATAAGTTATATGCACGAAATTTGGTACCCGGGGTTTTTTGACGTGGGAAATCATAATTTCGTATTAATTTTCATGTAACATCTAGAGGGCGCTGCCTACGCTGTCATTATTTATTTCAAATTGCCCTAACTTTTTCGACAGTAAACTTTTGGTACTTTTCATATGAAATCTAATTCCCACACTTTTCCAAATAAAAAAAGGAAACTTCCTCAACAACGCTGGAGGTGATCGTTTTCGAGATTATTTACAATTTTCTATATTGATGCATATTACCTAGCTCCTAGGCCGCTAAATGAAGTTGCTGAGAACATCACAGAAACTATGTATGTTGTGGATCTCGTCAAAATAAACAACTTTTTTTTGATGAAATGTTTATCGAAAAATCATTCGTTTTCGAGATGCAAATAACTAAAATTATAAAAAACTTACGATAAAAACCAACTATGTTTTGAAGAATTCTATGAAAATTAAGGACCTACTCAAAGATAACGTATATAAACGCATCACTTGAGATACTACAATATATTTGGAAAAAACCACCATAACAAAAATACGAAAGTCACCAATAGACGCCAAAAGCCAGAAACAAATCATACCTAGAAAAAACCCAGCCGATTTCTCAAGTATATGGATTAAGATCCACAAACAAAACACACCTCTTAAGCCCATCGTCAGCGCACTTGGATCTCCACTACAGCCACACTACACCACATCATTCAAAATCATATGTCAAGAACTTGGAGAATTTCATCGTTCTCATAGAAAACATCACATTGGTCACGAACGATATATGTACTAGTCTGGACTAGTCTAGTCTAGTATTTAGACTCCAATGTACTGAAAAATGAAGCACCAGACCACATTTCCATGAACAAGGACCTACCAGCCTACGTTATCGAACTCTCAGGCCACTGTTCGAAAAACACATATTTCAGCTCCAACGACTTCATATAGAGATAGAATGTGCTCTGAAGGGTTTCGCTTCATCAATTATCACCTCCAACCCATTCATGGGGTATTTGGAATCCAAGACCCTGAACAACGCACGAATGAAACCCAAATCATGGCTGATATACATCGACGACATTCTCGACACGGACATAAAGAACTTCATCATTTCGTAGCATACCCAAACTCACCCCACTAGAAAATCCAGTTCACCACAGAAATATAAAGAAACAAAAGAAACAACAGAGTCAATGCTTGATGTGAATAGTTTGATTTTCTTTAATCGACATCGAGATCAAGACAATAATGAGACCACTATATATAGTTTTCACACTTTACATTTTTGATATTTCCTATTTCACATTCGTAAACATTTTTATTCATCAATAGTAGGTTCAACCCAGTCTTCAAGCATAGCCCATTGACTAATAAGAACGTTTTTTATCCTTATTCAGAGAAATCGGGAAAATTTATGATATGCAGTTGGTCAGTACCTCGTCCACTAGATGAAGTGACATTTTATTGTTTGCTCCAACTTAGGAAGAGGAATGAAATACTCTGAAAGAATTCAGATTTTCAATTATGGAATATCATTGACTTGAGATCGATGATGGCCACTATCTTGCACTGACGAGTGGCTAATGACCCCAAAACCGGTCTGCAAGTGTGCCCGTTCCAAAATTGAAGGTCGACTCTTTCAGTTGTATTACCAATTGCATATGCAGGAAATTTTCAGTGAAGATTCTTGCACTGAGAGAACTGACCAATATTTGATGAAAATTCATTGTAACGTTTTAAAAAGCACTTCGATGTGTGATTTCCACTTGAAAGTTTAGAAAACTGCGACACGAGTTTCGCTATACCATATCATTGTCACTCTCAAAACAACAATAGTCACGCCTATCCATAAAAAAGGTGATAAAACCCAAATCGGTTACTATAGACCTATTTCGCTCATTACCCACCTCTCAAAAATCTTCGAAAAATCAGTGAAGAAAAGATTATGTTCATTTATCAATAAATATAAACTTATTTCGACCAAACAATTTGGATTCTATGAAAAAACATCTACCGAAGATGCGATACTTGAAAGCTTTCGACACGGTTGACCACCAATTACTATTACAAACACTGAACAATAATGGAGTCAGAGTTATATGTTTGAAATTATTTGAAAGTTATCTACAAAACAGAAAACAAGTTGTTAGAATAGCAGATAAAACTAGTGATGAGTTAAAAATTAAATGTGGAATTCCCCAGGGCACAGTGTTGGGCCTCTTATTATTCAACCTTTATGTAAATGATATATTTAAAATAAATAGCGTGGGTACCATAATAGGATATGCGGATGATACCGCCATATTTTATGAAGCGGACAGTTAGCACGAATTGAAAGAAAAGGTAGAGGCAGATTTTCAACTATCGAAACTGTGGCTTGATAAGAGACTCATGACTGTAAATGTGGAGAAAACGAATTTTCTTCCTTTCAGTTGCAATGCATCTAATGCCTGTCCTTATGACAACCTCAATATTCTGTCTAAACAAAACCATACAATAAAAATTCAGTCTGTTAAACAATTTAAATACTTAGGCATATATATTGACACACATCTAAAATGGTATTACCACATCAGATATATTATAAAAAAACTCCAAACAGTCCTCTACAGATTTCGGGTTCTGAAAAGGTATTTACCTTTCAACGAACTGAAACATTTATATACGGCCCGTGTTGAGAGTCATTTACGATATGGAATAACTGCTTGGGGATCAGCTCTACGTGTACATTTGAAACCTCTGGAAACGTTACAGAAAAGATTCCTCAAACTCATAATGTCACAAAATCGGCGATTTTCAACAGAACGTTTGTATAAAGAGTGTGGAAACTTGGATGTGCGACAGTTGTTTTCTTTCAATACAAGCGTGAAATACCATTTTAGTTTAAACAAAGCAAAATATCGTGATCACCCATACTCTACACGTCACTGCGAAAAATTAACATACCCCGTGATACTGAAAAAGTCAATCTCACAAAGAGCTCACTCCTTTATATCCATTAAACTTTATAATAGCATACCAGAAGATATAAAAAATATTAAATCTCCAGCATTATTAAAAAAAATTGAAAACATTTTTGTTAACAGCTGGTAGGAAATTTACACAAAATTCAATAGAATGAAGAAGACACCATTGCGAAAAGACATTATTATTGCCTTTTCCCAAAATATTTGTGTGTAATTTTGTTCAGTGTACTGTCTATATTATGTTTGTGTAGTACTGAATGTTTATATGTTCAGTTGATATAAACTAGTCATAGGTATATTTTATTTGAAATGTGTAAAAAATGTGTAGATTGTTATTTTTATTGCGAAATAAGTGTGTTACACTTATCGCTTTCCTACTTTTTTCACGTTTTCTGTAATGTCTATTTTATATATTGATGTGAATTTAATCATCTTCATTGTAATGTGAATAAAGTCATTATTATCATTATTATTGTCACAATAGTATTGTGACATACGAAGGTGTATGACAATGTAATCTTCGTCTGATGACTGGACTATTCCTCCAAGAGATGACTATTCATAGGTCATTCGAGTGCTTTCGCACATCCCCTCTATCCTCTCCCCGCTTCAGCGGTTTAGCGGGAGATGTCCGTTTGGCGGGAGTTGACCGTTTTCCGTTTGATTATGGGTTTCCGTAATCTGCGTGTCTCTACGCTAGCTTGACTAAATGCGTCGTTGGAAACATATATGCAGCTCCTTTGAACTCACTCTTGAATCAGTGTTTCTCCCTGTAGATGATCTCAGCTTGGGACCACTTGATGTTAAGTAGATGAGTCCAAACATGCTCTGCTATTCCTGATTTTCTCACTCACACTCACTAGGGATTCAGTGAATGCAATTCTTGGAATCAAAATCCGTGTTTGGTGGACTGGTTTTCGTTAGGCTACTACAGATGTTGTTTCCGGACCTGAAGCAGGTTCTGATGTTGTACGTGGACCCAATTCATTTTATCCTTTCCGATGATCCTCTGATGTAGGGAACTGCAACAACTATTTGTGGCGGTTCCTCCTCCTTGCGAGGCTCTCGCTGTCTTCCAGTCACAGTCTGTACCACCATCACTTCGAAGTAACCATTCCATTGAAGATCTTTTCCGATGATGCCTAGTTGCTTCCCAAGACCTTTTTTCAAATTATAGAGCGCGAGATCATGCTCTATCAGAGTTTCGATGATTCCTCTTTTTGTGGATTGATGATGATTGGATTCGTAATTCAGTTCCATTTCCACTTGGTATCAATTCAGGGATTTCAAATCACGTCACGTCATATCAGACAATGGAAGTCCAAACTGATGAAATTATATCGTTTATCATTCACTTTTTGGATAAAAACATCAGTGGTACAAAAAATGAAACGAAGGTGGAAAAAAATCATACGTTTTCGAAAGCAAAATCATTTTCGCAACGAATTCCCATGAAGGTACAATTTCGATTAGCAACTGATTCAATGAAGTACTTGAATGATCTCTTGTGATCACAGCCTGGCAGAATTTCCCCTTCATGTAAGCTGTTTCTCCCAACTGAGACAAGATTTGAGAAAGTTGTATTTTCGGAACATCCTGGCTGATGCTTAGCGCTGTTCACATAAAAGTCACTGTGACCTAAGGTTTCGTTTATACCTTGGCTTCTAGCTGAAAAATTGTCAGTCAAATGTCGAGTGCATAAAAACGTGATATATTACATTCATATGCGTCAGTGTGGATGATTTCAACATATTGGGCACAATTTGGATTCAATTTTACTGACTTTGGCATTCCTTCAAATCTGAAACCACTTGGATCTAAACCTGAAAATTGAAGATAGTCATCGTATCATTATAGAAAAGGAACATTTTCATCAACATACTTTTATCTCACACAACTAGGTGAGAAAATGGGGAAAGTATGATTCGGGCACATTTATATGAATAAAATAATATACAGTGCTTTTCAGATAAAAGTATCCACCTTTAATAACTTTTGTAATACTGGTATTTAGGAAAAATCCAAAAACACGTCAATTTATGTTGGAAGGGGCAAGCATTACGGCTTATCTAAACTTACTGGAAAAGCCACCCCCTCACCCCTAGCATCATCCCTTTTTTTTTTAATTACTTCTCATATATTTTATGTAAAATTTGGATACTCCTCTTTGAGCTGATTTCAAAAATGTATAATACTTGTAGGTTAAAGTGGTTAGTTTATGAGATAAACAATTTTTCTNCAGTAAGTTTAAATAAGCCATAATGCTTGCCCCTTCCAACATAAATTGACGTGTTTTTGGATTTTTCCCAAATACCAGTATTACAAAAGTTATTAAAGGTGGATACTTTTATCTGAAAAGCACTGTATTTATTTTTCAAAACATAAAAGAGGGGGAAGAGATTTCTGGCTTTCTACTTCTCTATCTTGTATGTGTTTTAAATATGTTTAAAATATGTTTTTTCCGTTAACGAGCTATCGCACCCCTACGAACGATAACCCTCAGAAATCGAAACTTTTGCGAGCTAAGGACTACCGAGGTCTTACCTTCCAACGTGTAATTCCTAACATAGAAAAAAATAACCCTTTACAAAGACGTATAGATCCAGCAGAGAAGTAACTTTTAGACACGAACTGGAAGAGAAAGAACCCTCGAAACAACTACTTCAATTACATGAGGAAAAATACTTCGGAAACAAATACTTGCATGTGAACACTGAATTATACAAAAACACTTTTCTCTACTCAGTTTGTATTCCAAACATCAGTTGTGGAATTGAATCAGATATCATTCACAGGATTCCTACACAATATACTGAATGAAAGAGGTGAAATCTCACTTGCATGAAACATTGTCATTCTCCCTGGTAGACATTCGATGTTTCACCGTGAGACACTTGCAATGAATGAAATGAGTGTTTTTTCCCATAATGATATTCAGGTTTGGTACTGAGGAACTGATTACGTAAGTGTCTTACGGCGAAACATAGGATGTCTACCAGTGAGGATGACAGTGTTCCATGTAAGTGGAATTTTTGCCTTTCATTCAGTATATTGGTGGATACTCTGTTTGATGCACTTGGCAGAAGGAAAGTAGAACTACAAGCTTATGTAGAAGACCTTGTTATCTTGGCAAGGTTCACGTCGGGAAAGATAGCTTGTAATATCCTCCGAAGTACGATGGACGTTGCTCACAGTAGGTGCCTGAGGAAGCAGATGTCTTTCAACCCCAGCAAAACTGTAACAATCCCCTTCAACAGGAGGAGAAAATTGGACGATCTAACGCCACTTTGCCTCAATGGTGGGGCCATTCCATTTGGGACGGAAGTGCAATATCTTGGCATGGTCCTTCATAAAAAACGCACCTGGAACGCTCACTTGGGAAAAGTTTTACACAAAACCAGACTGTCCCTATGGACATGTCGAAGAATTTGTGGTAAAACTTGAGGTTTAGGTCCCAAACAAATCCATTGTATTTATGTGATGATTGTCAGACCAATGATCACTAATGGTGCAATTGTCTGGTGGCCGAAGACTTTACAGAAAACGGCCCAAGCGAAGCTTTCTGGCGTACAGAGACAGGCTTGCCTGGCCATCAGTGGTGCACCGTCAGCAGCCATGGAGATCCTTCTAGATCCACCCCCTCTCCAAATTGTTCTGGAGAGAGAGGCTATATGGACTGCATATAGACTTGTGCACATTGCCAATTGCACTAATCAATCTAATGCAGAGTGCAACAGACTCTTGGTTGACACCGGAAGACACAGTATTCTGGAAATGACCCCTAACTTTACGCTCCCAACTGTCAACTACCAACTGCCTTATAAAGTACTGTTCCCGAGTAGAGAGGACTGGATCCTCCGGGAGAAGAGAATATTGAGAGCAGAGAGTTTTTGGTTCACAGACCAATCAAAAACACCTTCTGGTTCTGGTGCCGGTGTTTTCAGTCGCAGACTCAGGGGAAGATTAGGGAGATTGGAAGAATCCAACCTCATACACAAGTCAATAAAAATATTCTCAGACAGTCAAGCGGCGTTGGAAGCTCTTGGCTCCTACCGAGCAACGTCTAAATTGGTAGCAAATTGACAAAAACGGGTCTCCTCGATTGGAAGACTTAACAGATTGTCTTTGTTCTGGATTTCTGACCATACTGGTGTGGAAGGTAATGACACTGCTCGCAGAGGAGGGTGCTGCAAACAGCTTCATTGGACCAGAACCTGACAGTGGCATCGCTTTAGGCTTTGCCAAACAAACATTGAACACCTGAATGGCAAGAAGTTTTATAGACTTCTGGCAGAATCTTCCAGGATTGGCTCACTCCAAGGCGTTTATTCACCCTTCCAAGATGGATACCAAACAGATATTGGACTACAGTAAGGAAGAACTACGATGTCTAACAGGCCTTCTTACAGGTCACAGTCATTCAAATCATCATATGCACAGACTTGGACTGTCGGAAGACAGTGTGTGTCGCCTCTGTTTGGAAAATGATGGAACAGCAGAGCACATGTTTTATGCCTGCCCCGCTGGGGACTGAATCAGGTTTTAAGAGTTCGGCAGAGCCGTACTCTCACCTTCTGAACTGAAAGACCACTCACCATACAAACTAATCGAGTTCGTCAAGAAGCTGGGTTCATTTGGCCGAGTGTGAATAGGGGTGAGCCACAATAAACCCTAGCGGTTTGCGGTGGAGGGTAGAATAGACCCAATCACCTTGGACCTAACCTAACCTGAGCATGGTATCTGATTCCCAACCGTAATTTATGTTTGAAATACAAACTGAGTGGAGAAAAATGTTTTTTTTATAATTCAGTATTTATATAAAAGTATTCGTTTCACAAGTTTTTTTTTCGTTTAATTTCGTGAAATGTGGCGTTTTGCGACGATTGTTGAGATAAAAACCGACATGCTGCAAAGTGCATGTCAGAACTACCTTCTACTCACTACGAGGATTAGAAAAGACGCAGACACAACTATATATGAGAGGAACTACTTCGAAGGGGGCAAATTAGAAATTAATGACCGAATGGTAGGACGGTAGCCTGGTGGGTTGACGTGGGTGGTTAGTTCTACTCAATCAATCGACCACTGTGCGAACCGGTGGTTCGAACCGCAAGGCCGAACGATCGATCTTTACTTCCTATCGTCCAACTCGTGTTAGGAATCAAACGTTAAAAGGTAAGACCTCCTTAGTCCTCAGCTCGCCCAAGTTTCGACTTTTGAGAGTTGTTGTTCGTAGGGAGGCGAGAACTGTTTAACGAAAAAACAGATTTCAACAGATTTCTTTTCACCCTATCACATACGAAATTGAAAACAGTATCATTTCGTCAAAAAATAATTGAGGAATACTCACCCACCTGTAATTTTTTTAATTTTATCATGAGTAGTCCCAACATAACCAGCAATATGAGCACCAATTCCATGTCCAACGATGTGAATATTTTCGAAACCATAATGCATTTTCTCCTGTGAATATGTAAGTCGTCATTATTCTGGAAGAACGTCTATGTATCTTACTTTGAGTTCTTTGAGCAAAATAATAATTTCCAAAGCAACAACTCTGGCATTAGCTATTGCTTGATCATATGGTGGCTCTGCTCCCCTCTGCCAATCCACAGAAACTACGTTATAATCCAGTGATTGTCCATGTATAATATTTCCAGCGTGCTAGACATTATAATTCAGTCAATGTGTTAAAATGTTTCTGATACAAATAAAATGGAATAAAATCATCAATTTGTTATTTCAGGTGAATGTGAATCGAATCTTTTCAGTGATGTTCCAGAAATTGTTTTTATAGTTTCAAAGTCGTACTGTAGTCGTTAGCCAATAAGTTGGTGGACTTTTTGGGAAACCATAAAGTTATTGAAATAATAATTTTCCAACAAAATTGCATGGTAACAAAAAAAATTTTATAGAACAATATTTGTTCTATACAGTTGCCCAAACAATTACATGAGTTAGATTTGCCAAACCGTGTTTTTATATTCGTTATCGATTTTTATGACATATTTTAAGGTACAACATTTTGCAAAAGTACCCATGTTTTGAGAAACGGTTTCTATACAGGGTGTTCCTCAAACACATGCTAATATTCAAGGAGGTGATTCTTAGACCCATTTCAAGAAAAAAACGTCCTATAATTTCCAAAGCAACAACTCTGGCATTAGCTATTGCTTGATCATATGGTGGCTCTGCTCCCCTCTGCCAATCCACAGAAACTACGTTATAATCCAGCGATTGTCCATGTATAATATTTCCAACGTGCTGGACATTATGATTCAGTAAATTTAAAATGTCTCTGATACAAACAAAATTGAATAAAATCATCAATTTGTTATTTCAGGTGAATGCGAATCGAATCTTTTTAGTGATGTTCCAGGAATTGTTTTTATAGTTTCAAAGTCGTACTGTAATCGTTAGCCAATAAGTTGGTGGACTTTTTGGGAAACCATAAAGTTATTGAAATAATAATTTTCCAACAAAATTGCATGATAAGAAAAGAAATTGGATTGAACAATATTTGTTCTATACAGTTTCTATACGTGTTTCTATATTCGTAATCGATTTTTATGACAAATTTTTAGATACAACATTTTGCAAAAGTACCCATGTTTTGAGAAACGGTTTCTATATATGAATCATTCACGATTTCGGCTAGATTCATGTTCACAAACTGAAGTTTATGATTCTACGTTATACTTTCTGTTCTGAAAACAATGTTTCTGGAATGCATTTTGAGAAGAGGCGTCTTTAATAATTATTTACGCAACATTAACTCTACAATATTTTTGAATTATAGCTCAGAGGCTACGATGGAGTAGGTTTTGTCTTTGAAAATTTGTTACTATTTCAAATTTGAGATGAGAAATAAGTGAGTTCGTTTGTTTTTTTTTTTTTCAAGATAAAAAACAAACACTACAGTAAAATCGTCGAAGCGCTCTGAGAGCGGTGCCTGTGCAAAAATAGTGATTCACATTGGATTTGAATCACTGGGGAATAAATCCATTTGTGAAACCGTTCTCAGAAAGTTTATTTAACGTAAACGCAGTTTTTTAAATGGAAGAATTCCTAAACAGTGAATGAAGACCGAAGTGTATTGAGTTGAACCTCGAAACAATCAAGGTTGCAAGCGATATTCGCGTCTGTAGTCAGGCGGATGGCTCTTTTTTGAATGGAATCCTGCAGCTTCAGGATATGCTTGAAAACCTAGTTTCGTTTTCGGCACTGGAATTTTTGCGCCACTGCCTGTAGGCGAGATTTTTGGAGGCGACAACTTGCTCCCAATTTTTGTTGAACCAAGGTTTGTCGTTAGGATTTCGTTTCATTGAAAAAGGAGTATATGCAACCTTGGATGATAGAATAACTTCTGTCACTTCAGAAGCATAAATAGATGGATCTTTAGAGCTGAAACAAACATCTCACCAGGAGAAATTTTGGGAATGATCTTGAAGATCCTCCCACTCAGCAGATTTGTAATGCCAAACCTTGCGCAGTCTAGATTGCTCCCCAACGTTAATCGGCAATTCACTGAACACTGAAATGAGTTTATGGTCAGAAGATCCTAATGGAATCCTTACGGTGACTGTGTACATATCTGGATTGGTTATTAGGTATAGATCCAGAAGACTAGCATATTTTCCATCACGATCAGGAATCCTGGTTGGTTCATTTATAATTTGAGTAAGTTCGCTGCTCTTTGCAAAAGCCTCAGCTTCGCGACCCTGTTCGTCGTTGATATTTGATAATTTGAGTCATTCTATATTGTGGACATTGAAGTCGCCGAATCTATACATCTTTGTGAAAAATTCTTTTTGAAATTAATCGCATAGAGACTTTGAAACTTATCAAATATTCAATGTTACCTTCACCCATCCAGTATAACCATTTGCAGTGAAATCGTGTATAAGAATCATAAGTTCTGATTCAGATAGAATAACTTCTGTCACTTCAGAAGCATAAATAGATGGATCTTTAGAGCTGAAACAAACATCTCACCAGGAGAAATTTTGGGAATGATCTTGGAGATCCTCCCACTCAGCAGATTTGTAATGCCAAACCTTGCGCAACCTAGATTGCTCCCCAACCTTAATCGGCAATTCACTGAACACTGAAATGAGTTTGTGGTCAGAAGATCCCAATGGAGACCTTACGGTGACTGTGTATATTTCTGGATTGGTTGTTAGGCATAGATCCAGAAGACTAGCATATTTTCCATCACGATCAGGAATCCTGGTTGGTTCATTTATAATTCGAGTAAGTTCGCTGCTCTTTGCAAAAGCCTCATCTTCGCGACCTTGTTCGTCGTTGATATTTGATAATTTGAGTCATTCTATATTGTGGACATTGAAGTCGCCGAATCTATACATCTTTGTGAAAAATTCATTTTGAAATTAATCGCATAGCGACTTTGAAACTTATCAAATATTCAATGTTACCTTCACCCATCCAGTATAACCATTTGCAGTGAAATCGTGTATAAGAATCATAAGTTCTGATTCGTTGTTGAAACCAACGGCTTTAATCGACCCATATTTAGCAATAAAACTATTATACAGCAAACTCTCCGGGTCCTAAGGATGTTAAGAATAATTATACACTAACCTTCTATCCTCTTAGATAACTTACCTGTTTGCTTCTCTTCAACAACAAGAAATCAGTTTTGATTATATGGCGTTCGACGGGTCTCAAATTGACTGGTCTGTATTTTCTATGATACCACTTAGAATCTGTACGCAAGCAACCAAGTTCTTCGTAACATGTCGTGAATATATCTTCAAGGATTCAATTGTGCAGTGAAACATTTCAGTTAACAACATTATACATACCAACGTTTTCATTAGTATTTTCACTTTCTTCAGTTTTACTCATCTGATCCACAGCTGTACATTTGGTGGTATAAAATATGATAGCAGTTACGAAAAACACGAATTCCATCACAAAAGTCAGAACAGTATTTTCTATTTGACATTTTTCAAATTACCTGACACATTCATTGATTGATACAAGGTGGCTTAATATTTCTTTTAAAATTATTTGAGAAAATTTCATTTGCACTAAGTTGAATGTTTTCGTTTAACTCTCAACGATATTTGAAAGGAATGAATCGTAATGAACAACTACAAAAATGACAGGAAATAAAAACATCAACATGGACAAAACATACAGTTGCGTGTCAAGATACAGGATATTAATAACCCTACTTTTATTTTTTCGTGAGTTGCACCTTCCACAATCTGAAAAATAAACAAATCAATGGAGATTCTAAGTATAAGATCCACGACATCTTCCTTCATTAAGACGACATCTATGGCCAACAGAGAACTCAATTTTCGGATATTGAAGATAAACGAGGATACTGAAGATTGAGTTCTATGTCCACTTCACAGACGGCGTTTTCGTAAAGGAATATGTCGTTGACCTCACTCACTCAGGCTTTACCTTCAAGTAGGACTTATGATGCACTGTTTGGACCTTTGGTGTAGTAATGAATATTACTGGAGTTTTTTCCCACCACCAAATCGTTATTTTCAACACCTCGAAACGTGTTTCGATCACCAAGTGATCATCTTCAAAGAGGAAGATTAAAACTCATTTTGATCTTCCTCTTTGAGTTTTAATCTTCCTCTTTGAAGATGATCACTTGGTAATCGAAACACGTGTCGAAGTGTCAAAAATAACGATTTGATGTTGGGAAAAAACTAGAGTAATATTTACCTTCAAGGATAGTTGAAGGTAGCCGGCAGAATTCTGAAGCAAGAACTACTTGCGCTTTGAGACCAACAATGGGCAACCCGTCAGGCAGAACTTAATACTGAAGAAATGCAGGAAATCCTAAGGAAGGGCAGCCAAAAACCATACCCACCAATACACGGTGAGTGAGATATCGAGAGACAATGTAGAAAAAATGACGCCTCCATTACAGAAGACGTAGAAGACATCGAGAGAAAAGTCGAACAGACGGCACGCAGAATGATACTACAGCAAGGGGACGATGTTCAACCCCTGAATCCCACATCTTTCTATGAAGTCAGTGGTATCGTAAGAGGCCCGAATCAAGTCTAAAACTAAGCGGTGAAAGCCCTTCCCAGGAATGATATAACAACCAGATGGGTATCATTAATGCTTCACTTCAACTATAACACTCCTCTTATCCGTTCAAAGAGGCCACGCTTATTATGATCCCAAAGCTTGACACGAATTCCACTTTCCTCTACAACCATAGGTCAATAAGCTTGATCCTATCGATGAGCAAGGTGGCAGGACACGTCACGCAGAACGACTAGACCGGCGAAACAATCATCCTAGAGAATGAGCAGTTTGGTTTCAAGTCGAAACACTCAATGGAACTTCAAGTCCCAAGAGTGGTTGACAACGCGATTGAAGGTTTCAACCTGGGAAGAGATTATTACACCGAAGCGATACTCCAAGCAAGATACCTGGGATTCACCCTAGACAAGAAACTAATATTTGGGTCCCATGTCTAAACTTCTACCCCATCATCGGACGCAGGAGAAAGGTTAATGCAGTCAAGCTGCTGGAAAATAATTCCATGAAAATCAAAAGATAAATAGATGAGTACTTTTTGATCATCCCCATATTGATTTCAATTTAAGTGCCACCGGTAGACAGCTGTTTCAGACTATTGGGCATCGTCAGTACCGGGCAGGCGGTCCTCGATTGGAGTTGTCGGTTGATTGGTCAAACCACCAACACTGACATAAACACTTGGCAAGTTGACTTGGATGTCACACCAATAGGTGGTTCCACTTATGTTTCGTTTGCGTTTACGCAGCTAGTTTTATCAAGTACTCTCTTGGTTTCTCTCATTCTGTTTTTTAGTCAGGGAAGCTATAGATTACGCTGTAGACGACCCCTCCCGATATAGAAGGCCCCGAAACTCTGTCGCATAAGGCCCCTATGTCCTCAGTTAAGGGATGAATAATATCTTCATCCATCTCACCCCAGCCAGGTAGGGGTTTAACGCGAAGGGCGGTATGGATGTCTAAGGACTTTCATGCCACCATCAAACATCAGTTGTGACCCATTTGTCTTTCTGACAAACTTCAATTAAAAGGGGAAGGAGGCCAGGCTTCAACCTGAATAAAATCAAGATGGTTAACGTCATTTTGTCTTCAATCGAGGACCGCCTGTCTGCATTAACTTCTGTCGATTTTATATCATTTCTAGAAACATATGGATTCCTTTTTCGATGGCATTTCAGGTTAATTTCCCAAATTTCTGCTACCGCAGTTGTCGGTTGATTGGTCAAACCACCAACACTGACATAAAAACTTGGCAAGTTGACTTGGGTGTCACACCAATAGGTGGTTCCACTTATGTTTCGCTTGCGTTTACGCAGCTAGTTTTATCAAGTACTTTCTTGGTTTTTCTCATTTTGTCTTCAATCGAGGACCGCCTGCCCTGTACTGACGATGCCCATTAGGCTGAAACAGCTGTCTACCGGTAGCTCTTAAATTGAAAACAATATGGGAATGATCATAATAGTACTTATCTATTTATCTAGTTAGTTCACTTCACTCCTTAGATAATCTACATCAGTTTCAGATTGCTATCAGTATTTTTTCTACCCTTTAGAAAATCTCATCTGAAATCACTGTGTTTATATTCCAGATCCTGAACGGTTGATAAGCCCAAAAACATCAATAAATATTTCAGATTTTTCGCTTTCTCCATATGTATTTATTAGATTCGAATTTTCTACTACTTTCATAAAATTAAACCATTCAATCTAGGATCATATATTATCTTTTCAACAATAAGTGGTTTATATTAGAGTCTATAATTTACAATGTTTGTGTTCTAAATCAGATATATACATTATATACAACGAATACATTGTTTAAAATATTTTCGAAACTACACGCTAGATCATTTGAAGTAAGTATACGGTTTACAGACGAGTTAAAGTCTATTGATTCTACAATTGTACTCCTAGATGTTCATTCAATTATTTGAAATTTCATCAATTTTTTTAATATCGCAAGAAAATATTTTAAACATTCCTCAGTGAATCACATTTCATATATTTTGGCATTCGTGGAATATATACCATTCTGAAATCAATAAATTCCGATAAACTATAAAATGTCAACAATAGGATAGAGAGTTATATTTCATAAATAGACGGAGAAAACTGTTTAAAATTGACTATAAACTCCAACAGTATCACATGAAACGGTATTTCACAATATTAAAGCTTGTCGTTTCACTATTATACTTATTGCGATAGTATGTAATATGAATAAAATCGGGGTATACCAGAGTACAATTATGATTATACAGTATTAACTGGATTCCCTATTGAGAAGAGCCAATACCTGGGATTAAAAGTATCGGGCGTAACACATAGATGGCGCTAAGTCTTATTGAATTCACCACTTTTTCAATTAATACTGACCTTCAAAACCAAGCTGGTGAAATTTCATGATATGCTACTTGTAAGTTTTTGAGTTATTGTGCTAAGAAAGACACTACATTTGTGATTTTCAAAACAATGGATCAAAAACTATTTCGTGTTTTAATTTCACCCTGCTTCTTAATGAGATAAAATACCGTTCAGGCAAAGCGATGATTCGGTAAGTGTTATAAGGACTCCGCTCTATCAGAAACGATAATTAAACGTTAGTTTGCTGACTTTAAATGTGATCGTAGAGACACCGATGATGCAGAACGCAGGGGACGTCCAAATAAGGCAGTAACACCAGAAAACATGCACAAAATCGTTCAAAATGGCCGAAATGAAGTTGCGTGAGTTAGCTGACATTATAAAGATATCAATGGAACGTGTTGGCTTTATATTGCATGGACATTTGACTATCAGGGAGCTTTGTTTGCATTGGGTACCGCGCGAGCTCAATGTTGACCAAAAACAAGAACAAAAAAACTGCTCAGCCTCAGCACTGAATGGTTGCTTTGGTATGTTTTGTTTTCGCCTCATGCTACTAAGATATGGATCCGAAGTAAGCAAAAGTCGATTAAGTATATCTTCGTTGCTCTCTTCTGGAAAACTCTGTAGAAAAATTCTCTCTGTACTGTCGGAAGTGTTTATTTCAAGCTTCCGCAGCTTCTTCCGGTAATTGTCCAATCGGTAACAAGGCATGAGCTATAACACTCGATGAGTGGACCAATATTTTGTATACTGTAGCCAAGAGTATGAATGTATGCTGTACTATTGGCGAAGCTTGAAAATTTTTCTGAGTTCATTTCAAAGCCAGATGACAAAACCTCCATTATTTTTGTGAATCATTTTATCAATTCTATGTCGATGCCCGTTATTGAAGCTGCTTCTTCAGGGTTCTGGAAGAATCTTCGTGAAGTGTTACCGTCATTAGTGTTGCCATTCCTAACCTTAGGAATGTCTACAAGTAATACCAACATGTCTTTAAACTCCTTTTGAATTTGTTTCTTTGCATTTTTGTCGGTTACGCCACTCTTGTAGACTTTACCACGTAGTAATATCTCACCATTAGGCCATTCGTGGTCTTCTAAGAATATACTATTATAAGCAAGCCATTCACGTTTATATACCACTTTAAAAGTCTTAACGACTTTTTTAAGTTCACTTTTTTCCGGGGGGCACTTTGTTATTTCAATTAATTTTTCTTCCAAATCCTGGAGCTTTCTGTCAAACAGTCAATGTGGACTTGCTCTAACAATCTCCTGTATTTTTTTCTTGTCATAGATATTACAGTAGGTCCACAATCTGTAACAACTAATAAAATATGACCTTAAACTATAATTTTGCGCAAATTTCAACAGAAAAATTCTATGAAATGTGAATACTTGTGAATGATTTTGCTTCATAAAGTTATTCTAGAAACTTTGAAGTGTCATAAAACGTAAGTATTATTTTGTGGCAATTAGTTTCACATGTTTAAAATATCCACGATTGCTGAAGAATGACAAAAAATACAATTTTTTTTCACAAACGATTTTACACTCTATACTCGAAAATAAAGCCTATTAAATGAAACTTATGTATCTTAAATGTAATACATACCTTGTTTGAAGGTGATTGACAATGTTTCATGATTAATTTCACTAGTTCGGACTTCCATTGTCTGATATGTAAAATGTATATGTAAAATAATATGTAAATAGTCATCTCTCAGAGGAATCAGTCCAGTTATCACCCGAAGACGATTGTAGATAGTAACAATCGAAACGTCGTGAACTAACGTGGCTTCGAATCTCTTGACTTTTTTTTTATTTGTATTTCTTTAATTTTTGTTCAATCGTTTTGATTTTACTTGTATTTTATTTCACTATTATTTCATTTCAGGTTATTTTTGCTTAATATAATTCTTATTTTCAGCTATTTATTTTTAATTCTTGTTTCAGAGATTTCAAATCATTTTACATATTAGACAATGGATGTCCGAACTAGTGAAATTAATACATACCTTGAATTTTTTTCACCAATATAACACAAATTATAAATTAATGAATAGGCAAACAAACGAGATTCAAGGGGTTATTTGAAACAAACACATGCGTAGTGAACAAACACTAGGTTTCAACTGCTCTCATGTCACAAATAATGAACATACACAGACAGGTAACGATGGTCACAAAGGATGACCCATTTATCTACCTATCTTAATGTTCATTATTACCTGCGACAACTGAAGTTGACAAATTTCATTTTTTACCTAAGTTTGTAGTGAATTAAATTACCTGAGCTTATGTTCCATTTTCCACATTTGAAAAAATATTCAGTAACGGAGAGTTCTTTAATTCTAATTGATTCTAATGTGGCCAAAAAAGAAGAACATTTTCCCAAAGAATTGAAGAGCATAGAAGTTGTTTTGTAAATAGAAAGACAAATTTCACATTTGCAAACCACCTATTAGCAGAAGGACATGAGTTCAATCATGAATACGATGTGTTACATTTAGAAGAGAAGAGTTTGAAACTCAATCTTCGAGAATGTTTGGAAATCGATAGATTCGGAAATTCGGGTAAGTTACTGAATGATCAATTAGAATTAAATAACTCTCCGTTACTGAATTTTTTTTCCAATGTGGAAAATGGAACATAAGCTCAGGTAATTTAATTCATTACAAACTTAGGTAAAAAATCAGGTACTTGAAATTCAGGTACTTCAAATTGTAGCATTGAATGTGTAGAATGAGTTGTTAAGACACGCCCGAGGAAGCCATTGTATGGCGAAACACATGTTGCGTTTTTGTAAAACTGTCTAATGAAAATCACACAATAAAATGTTTTTAGAATACGTTAATAGTCCAGGATCTGATGTCGGAAATGTTGAGAAATGTAACAATCCTGCGAGTTTCCCAGCGCTAGTTTTCCATAATGAAAATATCTTTTCACATCGTAGTTGAATAATGATGTTTTGTTCCAGAGCATTATTCGATGTCATACTTTTCATGTGATACCGAGGAGGTAATAACATTAATATCTGACATTTTTGCTAAACTATTCATTAAAACTCCCTTCAAACACCCTTAAATCTGCAGCATAAGACTTCAATATCACCAATCTACTTGAAAAATTCTAAATATAATTGGCAGTATATATCATTAAATTTATGAGAATCATGGAAATTAAGAAGAACATGGTGAATTGATCGATAAAATTCTATAGAAACAGTCCTAGTTAAAAAGGCGATGAGGCTCTTAGCCTCCAAAGATAAAGGCTCCTAGTAACACTTAGTGGTCGATTTTTATCACTATTAATAATGCTAAGGCCGTTTATTCATTCCATAGGCACCAAATTCCATTTCAAACATCTCCGTGCCTAGTGAATCAACGACTGTCAAAAAGTTTCACTATGATCCAATTGGAAAATGAATGAAGATGGTCGTAATGGCAAAACGAAGGTTCCGGACTGCCAAGTCATGACTTCAAAGTTGTCCTTCCTCAAACTTTCCGGTACTTTCTCAAGTGGGATCTGATGGCTCTTCCTTATCCCTCAGAGCCGTCAGTAGGTGGCTTCTGAGCTCAGACTCCGAACTCCTCCATAAAAGAACCAACTCGTCTTTGGATAGACGTTCCAGAGGAGACCTGCCATTTGAATTCCGCGGAGAACAGTTAGGAGGAGGTGGAGCAGGTGGCAATTCTTCTTCTCGTAGTCTTGATTTTGACCTTGACTTTTCTCTAGGCGTAGGATTGTTACTATCCAGGGATTTCGATTGCTCTGTTAACCTATTTCTTCTGTTCTGTTCGCCAATGGATGCTGTCGCATCACCCAAACTCTGATGCCTGGTTTTATTTCTTCTTGACAACGGAGGATGTCGCAATTCAACCTTGTCAGGGATTGATTCAACCTGCGTGGTATCTTCCACCTGAATTCGAATCTGAGGATTATTTTTTTGTTTCGGTGTAACATTTTCGGTTCTCTTGAGTGGTTTGAGATTTTTCGTGATTCTTCCTTGTAGTTCCTCTATAGTTTGCCTGTTTCTCCTAGCAACGTCGTCATCAGATAAGTTATTTTTCATTTCACTTGTATTGGTCCCCGATACATTATTGAAACTTCTAGTTGTTGTCAAAAAGTCAGATTTTCCAGATGAGCATAAAGTTTCATCACTTTTGCCAAGAGTCAAGCTGTACTGCGGTTGCAAACGGTGTTTGTCAATTGGTTCTTGATAGCGTGGTAAGGTGGCTAGCTTTTTACCAATACTTTCGCTGTCTGAAAGTTTTCTCATCGGTTCCGAGTATTTGCTGCAGTCTGATAGATTCTCAATGGATAGAATAGGACTTTTTCCGGCCAATTTACTTCCACTGCTCAGCATATCTAAAGCACTTGACCTTCTGCTGTTTATATCAGGCGGTGAGCTTGATAGAAAATCCTTACTCAATCTTCTACCAACAGCACTACTGCGGTCTTGTTTGAGAGATGGAGAATTGAATACACTGTCAGTGCTGAATCGTCTGACATTGAGAGTTACTGAACTTTTTGCTCTGTTCTTAGACCTGGGACTGAAGAGTTGTTTATTGAAGTAGGTGGTGGGTGATCTGATTTTCCCTCCGCTATCTGCCTTAGGGCTAGATCTCAGGAAAGTTCTTCTGATGATGCTAGGGCTCAATTTGGACTTCTTTTCATCGGGAGATAGTTGGTACTCTGAATCAACTTCGGTTACGGGTTCCAGGGGGGGTTCTCTCTCCTCTTGTTGTTGCCTGCGAATAGTACTGTTTTTCAATAGTGTTTGTGTTCGGCATTGAAATCGCTCTATAGACTCACCTTCTAATTTCTTGGATCATTTCAAAGAACTGTGCTTTGCTTTTCCTCCTCCTGCGTTGTTCATGTTCCTTCTGAAACAAGAGTCATCAAGAAAATTCTATGGAATATTCTGAGAATAGTTAACAAATACAGGATATTGGATAATGTGCCCAATTTTTTATTCCATTTCTCAGTATAACTTTCATACACGTGAAAACAAAGTGGTGAGTTTGAAGTCAAATGTTGGAATTCTTTGAAAAGATATGACGTGAATAATATGTAGGCTCTGAAGCTACTGCAGAGCCTACTGTGTAGGTAGGGACTGATATTTCGAAAATATCATTCCAAAATATTTATTTTCTAATACGTATGTTACTAGTTAACAATATTTCACTCAGATGAAGATTTTGTATATGTAGCGTAGCCGTGTTGAAATTGATGGAGTCTCAGGCACATTGCGGTCTGGGTAGGATCTTTCCTGTACTGACGCGAGGTAATACCTCGAAACCGCGGTCTGCAAGTAATCTACTTGAATAATTTCAGCATGGTCCTGCTGCTGAATGAACGAGAAATTTCTGTGAGATATCTTGCATACATGTCTGTCAGACATAATTCAATATCCAGAGTTGTATTAGCCAGGAAAGTAGTTGTTTTCCAACAGACTTTCACCAGATCCCACTGTGTAGGTAGTTGGAAGAGATAAATATTTCAAATAATCCATTTCCGAATTATTATTTTCTTATTCTTTGAAAGGTTTTTCTCAGACCCTAATTTTTGAGTAGTCCAACAGAAAAAAGTCCAGTGTAGGACCATATTGATTACGCTGGATACACAGGCCAACGATAAAAAACCTTTTCTCACTTTAAACACCTTATTATTTTGTTTTTTAGGGTGCTAAATCCAAATATGACACTTATTAAGCCGTAGCACCTACCATTTTTTCACAGAGGAACTCAGAAAATTATTGGCACCATTTGTCCATCCGATAAATTTATTGGAGATAGTACCGTATACGTATAAACTCAACGTTACGCTGATGCCAAATTACAAGATATTTTGAAGATATACTTCAACTTTGTCGCATTGGAGTACATTAAAATGCCCCTGACGGAAGAAGTTCTACCCGTGGAGGTGTCTCCTAAACGATTCCATGGACTAAAAGGTAGCAAAATTATCTGGCATCAACAATACTCTAAACAAGGTCTGATCTGAGCTTCATGAAGCTGAGGTGCGTACAGTTTGCTAGTTCGGAACAGTGTTCCAAACTCTTGAAGAGCAGCCTTTGCAATTCCAGCGGCATGATTGTGCCAAGATATATTGGTGTCCATTCCAACCCCCAACAAACTTATCGAAGCAGAAAGCGGAATTCTCTATCCTGACATTATTATATCTGGTTTGGAGAAATATTTTTATACAAGGTGATAAACAACAATATTACAGATATAAACATAACATACTCGAACTCATAGATTTTAATGTTCCTCAGTATCCTACAAGAAGTCCAATATTTTTTAAACTACCCAAGACAAGTGAAAAATAACTGCTCTGAGTCCTCTTTCAGCCATGCTTTGTAAAGCAAATGAAATTAATGAAATGAAAAAAAAATAGATTTCAGTAATTCCATCTAAGGTTTCAGATATGATGTTATTAATTATTTATTAGAAATATAAATGTAATCGTAGATAATATGTTTGAAAATCTTTCAGTGTATATGTATAGAAATAAGCCCACACAATTAATTAGTAATAAGAATTTCCATGTAATTAGACTGTCAAGTCTGTATGGAAAATAAAATAAAACAAAATGAAAAAAAATAATAAAATAAAATGAAATGAAATGGAATGAAATGAAATGAAATGGAATAAAATGAAATCGATGCATTGGTTTTTGTCGTATTGAATTAAACCTGCACCAACTCCCTGAACGGAGGCGATATCTGCTCTACTTTCCCTCAGTAAGTCAGCAAAAGCTCACGCACAATCGATGATTCACCTCAACTATCTCAAACTCTCCAAAATTTTCTACGTTTGGCATCTCAATACCGCCAACATTTCGTAAAGTAGCGAACCTCATCAGATCAGTGATGGAGTTTGATAATATCATGTGTGTATTTTTTCTGACTGAAATAATAAAAACTAATACGAACCCTTTTTATGCTTTTCTGGAACAAACTCGTTATTTGTCCTTGTCTGATGGTGTGGACCAATTCCCTAGCGGCGTGATGTGGCGACACCAATTCTACGCAGTTGATGAAGCGGTACAATTTCTGTGAACAAAACATAATACTGAGCAGATGGAAGCATTTCCCTCTGACGTTTCACTCTTTGCCTTCATATTCAAATCTTATTTCCAGATATTATGAAACTATGTATTATACAATGCAAACAGTATTGTGAAATTCAAGAATAATGAAAATATGTGTGACCTAATTATGACTGTATTCTAACGCGAGCTGGAAAAGGTGTGGAGATCGACAATAATCAGAACTATTAATGGATATAGAGTGGAATATATAAGATATACATGGTTTGTTCGAAAAATTAGGTGAATTTCAAATTTTCATCAAAAAATATTTGTTCATTCCTCAATTTCTATTTTCTCCCCTTCGAAGTAGCCCCTCTCATATATGATACACTTGTGTCAGCGTTTTCACTAATCCTAGGAGCAGGTCTGATATGCACTTTTTGTATGTCCTTGTCCTCTCTCAGAGATTCGGTTTTTATCTCCTCAATCGTCGCAAAACGCCGTTCTATCATGGGCGTTTTCTATCTTGATAACAGGAAAACATTGCAGGGTTCCGAATCTGGTAAATACGGTGGCTGAGGTATGATTACGGTTTAATTTTTTGACCAAAAATTACGAACAAGCAAGGTGCAGTATCGCGATGTAAAAGTCATAAATTATTCCTTATTGACCGTACGACCATGTGAGAAAGGCTCTTGATGCACCACGCCACGACAATTGAAGAAGACGATGAGCAATCCTCAGCATTTGTCTTGAATGGTTTATTATCTCAGTTTAATCATTGAAAAAAGTTAGGAACAAAAGTGGTCCCAAATTCGAGCCTTTGGGCACTCCGGAACTGGGAGTATATGAAGCAGATTCAAAGCCTTCATACTCTACGTACTGTTTTCTAACAAGTTGGAGATTTGATATAAGTTTTACCAAACTTGCTGGTGGACCAAATTCTGAAAGGAAAGCTTTTTGCGTGTTTGTATAAATGACGTCAACCTGCAATTTTCCATCCAAAGCTTCAGAGACACATTGTGAAAGACATGCAAGATTGGTTGTGCACGATTTGTTTTCTACAATTCCATGCTAATTATCCGACATGATATTTCGGTTTGGACTGTAAATATTTCCAATCACTTGAAGGAATTGCTCTGTATTGAAATTGCTCTATAGTTTCTCGAGCTTTTTTCGATGGCCAGGAAACATGTTTTCAAAGAAATATTGAATATATGAAGTAGGGAACCCAGTAAAAGGTGAATACAAGGTTTACTACGAAACTCGGTATATGGTCAAGGCCAATAATTAGTTTACTTTTCATTCGTGCAGTTATCATGGTTATTACATGAAGAGACATCGGATAAAATATGAACACTTTTGAAGAAGTTTGCAAATGTTTCCAAAATTGCGGTTTGGTGAAAGTTTTAGTTTCATCCTTCATAACACTGGCAATTTTCGAGTCACCTTATTTGTTCTGCATAGGAATCCAAAATGCACTTGGGTCTTCGTTTTTCCATTCACTTTCATTTAGTATGTTTTCATAAGTATTGTTTATTTGTTCTTTCACTTCATTTCTCAACGCGATAAATTGCTGCTGATGACCGGATGTTTGATATTTTTTCAAAATTTTGTGGGCTCGTTCTTCCTTAAGAGTGTTTCCAATTATTATTTTAGAATAATGAGATAAATTGATTTCATTCTCGATTTACTTTATTTCCAAGGAGGGTTACATCAGATACTGAAAATATCAAGCTTACTACTTCGATCTGACAAAAAAAAATCAAATCACAGGGAGGAAAATTCGTAGGCAGTTTCCTGTAGATGTGACTATATTTTTCGAATGAGTGCTAATTCCATGAATCAAACTCGACAACAACACTTCAACCTGCAACATGCCTCGACCTGCATGTTGTCAGTGTGAAGTGTGATCTTGATTTATAACCTAATAATCTGAAGTTTGGATCATTCTTCAAAATTATCAGGGCTTGATATTGCTTGAGAAGTATGAAATGATAAAAAAGCCATAAAATAAAATCTATAAATTCATATTTATTGAAAGCACTTGAACATAATTTACTGTTTTTTCAAACATACAGAATGAGTAAATACAACGTGCATTCCGAAATGTTTTCAATTTACCGTTCAGATAACATTCCACGTTCCATATTTAGAATATATTGTTATTATTCGTGTTTCAAATTCTTCAAATATCAATAATATATTTACTGATTGATTTGATGATTGCTATTTATGTACCGGAAAACAAACAAAACAAATATTTATCATTCAAATTGATTCATTGGTTTCTCAAAATAGTGTTCAAAATAATTGATGATTCCGAAAAGGTAAACAATTATTTATAAATATTCAATCATTGACTCTTCTCTGATAGCCTTTCATGAAGTATTCTATCGAATATTGTTTACTATTCGAAAGTCCTGTCTTATTATTGGGGGTTCAACTCTGGAATGGAAGATAATAGTCTAGAACTACGTGTAAGCCTTCATTTTGTCGATCTGAAACTTGTCTCGGAAGTTTCATGAAATATCTCATCTGCATAGTAAGTTATTTTAGTCATAGCCAACATATATATGGAGTGGTTTGAAACTCTGGCCATTGAAGAAGCAGCAATACGGAGAAAACGACTTGTATTGAGAAAAAACAGTTCATGGCTTTTGCATCATGATAATGCACCTGCTTCCTCCCCATTACTCGTTCGTAATATTTTGACCAAGAAGCGACACTCCATTTTCTTGTTGAAGAATAGAACTGGTAAGAGAAAAAACTTTTTTCTGAAAAATCAATTTCTTCAAAAAGTATCATCTCTTCAATTTCTCAGGATCTATTTCTTCCTTCTATTGATCATCTTGCCAGTAATTCAGACTCGATTCATATTGGGCCATAAACATTGCCAAATATCGCCAATAACAGACATCTCTGTTTCGACCTGCCATAGGTCTCATCAGTGATGCTAGGCTGTACCACAGATGCATTGCTGCATTCAACTGTCATCCAAGAACAAGTCTAGGAAGAAACCTAGGCTTGATAATTCCCATGCATGTAACTGTCAACGAAAAATAAAAAGTTATTATCATTATAAACGATGCCATCTTCTGGTGATGTCTGGTTTTTTCAACCAGACTGATTAGTTCGAACTCTGTGTCTCAAATTTATAGGGATGGATGTTTCCCTTTACCTGCGTTGCTGCCACTACCTGTGTTTGCTCGACTACCTGTTTTGGTCTTATTACCTGAGCTGCCTCTCCTGCCTCTGTTATTGTACCTGTATTGTCATGTGCCGAGTTTTGCTTCTGTGGTTGAGCGATCTGATTGCTTGTGCGAAGCGATAAAACGAATCTCCATGTTGATGGTAATCTTTGCGCATCATCCCTCTTGTTCATATTATCAGGTCGTGTTTCAATTTCGATAGCCACTCTGATTGTTCGCGAGTAAAAGTTTTCGTTGCTTGCTAGTATGTTTGTGTTATCGAAATTGATGTTATGTCCTGTCTGCAGTACGTGTTGGAAGAGAGAAGACTTGGTGACTTTTCCCTTCACTGCTAGTTTGTGTTCATCTTTTCGTATGTTGATTCGTCTGTTGGTCTTGCGATGTAAGTCCTGTCACAATCATGGCATGGTACTCCATACACTCCTTGTGACTCCAGTGGTATCTGATCCTTGGGAATTTTCACTATTAGTTTACGACTTTCTGAAATTGAACGGTTTCATTGTGATATGCTTCCACGAATCCAAGTGCATTTATTTTTGTTACGATGGAATGAAAGTTCAGCGTGTCGAATGCACGTGACAGGTCGAAGATAAGTCCAATAATGGATTCTTTTTTCTCTAGTTTTTCGTTTATTATTCGTATGAACTCTATTGTTGCCGTTTCAGTGGAATCCATGTTGTTTTTTATTCAGTATATCAAACTTACACAGAAAGCTATTTATTCTTTTTGTTATACCTTTTTCTAGAACCTTTGATAAAGTGCTCAGAAGCGCAATAGGTCTGTAGTTCATGAGCGACATTTTATCTCCTTTTTTGAAAATAGGTGTCACTATTGGAAATTGTTCTAATTCAATTGATTTATTCAAGATGAATGTTACGTAAGATACTATGTATGAAGCACACTTTTTCAAGAGACTGGGAATTCATCTTTTCCGGTAGATACTATCCGATACCTTAATTTTTTCGAAAATGATGAACGTTGCAGACAAATTAACAGGATGAAACTTAATACTATAAAAAATTCAACACTTGGAAATGAATTACCTTAATGATTTCACCACATGCACTTGCGGGTCAAAATTCTCGTTTGATCAAATTTCTCAATATTGTGATATGGCCCTTGGCGGATCATGAACATAAACAATCGGTTTTTCTGCTAGTCCTAGCTTCCTCAAAATACTGCTCTTTATTTCATCTATTCGGAAAGTTCGAAGTTCTTTCTCTGTTTCGAAATAATCCTCGTCAACTTTGTCTTCAGAAATACCGAGAATCTCTGCATTTGGAGGATGTGCAACACAAGAGCTAAGTAATACGACAGATGATGCCAAAATGACCACCAAAAACAGATTCATTTTGATAAACCTCACTTTGATAGGTTTCGAATGTACACACTAACAAATTATTAATGAAACTTTTGATCAATACACCAACATAAATACCGTCCACCCCACTTCGTGTCAGCATTTTTGCGAATGATGAATGACCCCTCGAACTCTCGTGTTACCGGAATTTCAGAGCATGACAAAATTGAGATAGAACGTGACGAAAGCATGCAGTCGCGACTCCGTCAATTTACAAGTAACAGTAAATCAATGACATGAAATGATTATCAATCTGACATAGTTTCATCATGATTTTATCAATGGGATTCCTAAGGTCAACAAGTCCTGTTTGAAAATTCCGAAAAAAATTATTTCAAAACACGGATATCAACTTTATGATTTATAAAATATACAAATTAGTGAATATTTTAATTAGAAACAATACACATGTTATATCGAATCAATATTTATTTTGGACATCAAACAAAGTTGGACTGAAAAGTTCGAAGGTTAACATAATTTTTTTTTTCATAAAATCTGATTGCTTTATTCAATATAGTTGCCTCTGAGGGTGATACAACGATTATAATGGTCATAGAATCTGAGAACAGATCTGAGAACAAAAAAAGTCGCTGGGGGTTATATCTGGAGAATATCGTGGATGCAAAGGCAATGGAAGCCAATTCATGCAACGTTGATATCGTTTTCATCCATTCGTAACATGGCGCATTGTCTTTATCGCGATTTGGATCTACAAATGCTTCCAAGATGGTCGATTAATATTGCCATAATCATGTCAGCCGACTATTGCGATTTGATTCTGTTTTTTTATGACAAAACACATGCACTACAGGATAATCCTCAAGGCGCTCTCACAGCGGTGTCTGTGCGAAAGTAGCAATTCACATCGAATTACAAACGCTGGAGATTGAATCCATTTGGAAAAACATTCTCAGGAAGTTTATTCCACATAAACGCAGTTCTCCAGATGAAACAGTGAAGTTAGAGGTGTACTGAATTGAACCTCTAAATGTTGAGCAGCTATAGTTCGTCGCGTATTTCTGATATGTGCAAGTCACTTGAACACTTCCTGTGAAAGTATCTACAGAAGAGAGGCAAATCTCCAACCTTTCTTCGATGTTCCAGTTCGAACGTGATATTCGCGTCTCTAATCAGGCGGATGGCTTCTTTCTAGATGAAATCCAGCAAATTCAGGGTACGTTGGGGGGCAGAGCTCCATACCTGAGAACGAAACTCCAAAGAAAGTCTGACCTGAGCTTTATAGAGCATCAAAAGTTGCTGAGGTGTGTGTACAGTTTCCTGGTTCGGAACAGTGTTCCAAACTTTCGAGAAGCAGGCTTTGCAATTCTAGTGACATGATTGTGCCAAGACATATGGGTGTCCATTTTAACCCCCAACAAACAAACTTATCGAAGCAGAAAGCGACATTGTCTGTCCTGACATTGTTAAATCCGGGTCGCAGACATTTATCTTCTTGGAGAAAACCGATGCGTAAGTTTCTGTGGCTTTGAATTGAACCTGGTTACTTTCACCCCAATTCGAAATGACTTCTAGATCCTCGTTAAGATATGTAACCTCTTGCTGTCGGAGAAGATATGCCTTTGTAGCCAATGTCCTGGAATCAATAAGGAATGACAAGACAAGTGTGCTGTTGTCAGCAAAGCAATACAGGCTGATTCACGGTGGATGGCACATTAGACGTTTCTGTTAACCAGACAACGGATCACTTTGAAAATTCAATGGAGGGCATATTCGGACATTCTCTAGCCAACTAAAATATTTTCGACAATGCGGTGTTGCCGCTTCTATTAGAAAGCAGTAGCAACTTTGATTTTTCAAATAGTTTTTCCGTTAACCAGCTGTCGCACCCCTACGAACGACAACCCTCAGAAGTCGAAACTTGTGTGAGCTAAGGATTAACGAGGTCTTACCTTTTACCTAACAGGGGTTGGACGATAGCAAGTGAAAATCGATCGTTCAAATTAGGACTTGAACCACCGACCAACACGGCAGTAATTTCGAGTGAGTGAACAAAGCACCCACGTCGAACCGCTTGGCTACGGACCGACCAAGAATGAATGATATGAATATATATTTTTCTCAATTGTTTCCGATCATGTCTTATCCTACTCTAGGAAGAGAAAATAATATAAGAACCCGAGTGACTCACCTGACTGAAGAACATAATGTTCCTACTGCGCCAAACGCTGTCCTTTGGTTTTTCTCGAAGAATGGGCAGAGTGTACCGAAAAAACAAGTGCTCCAGTAGAAGAATCGATACTGAAAGTAGTATACCCACTCCCAATAGAATGAAGACTCCGCCAACCCCTTTCACACCTAACGGTCTTGGTTGAGCAATATCATTAGCCAATTTGAAGCAGGGCAAACCTCCATACCATTTTTCTTGTAAGATGTCCATGTAACCATTACTGGAGTATTTGGCTATTACGGCTGACACGCTGTCCTAAAAATAAACCCAACGAAAGTTATGAGTTAGTAAGTTAGGGACCAGTTGAATTATACATTGGCTAAAAAGTCCTAAGCCTGAGAGAAAAACACGTCTTTTTTTGTTCAAAATTGAATTTATTTATCAACGAAAGCCACACATTCTTTCCAGCGCCACTCTAACATTATAATACTACCTTTGTAGAACGATTCATCTTTTGATGAATTGATGGATGTAGCCACTATTACGTGGAAGGGAATTATAATGAAGGAAAGAGAATTGAAATTTTCTTTGTTTTTGAGACTTTCATTTGTAACTAATGTTACTGCAGTTTCGTCCTATAAGGACATTTTCAAACTTATACATTGAACTAACGATGGTTCAAATCAAATCAAATCAAATTTTATTAAATCAGTTTACCTCTTATACAATGGATTGGACGTGTCTGGTGTGGTGTAAAACCCCACAATCTTATTACAAAAAAAAGTTACTCCTAAAGTACAAGTTTACAGGTTAGGTTGACAAAATAGAATTTATATACATAAATACAATGACACATAAAACAAGTATACAAGACATCTTGATATGAATATAAAAAAATCATAAAGCACAATAAACACTATGAACTCAGTTAACACTACTGAAAAGGAAGTCATCAAATTCCCCCAAGCTATAAAAACAATGATTCATTAAAATTTTCTTTAATCTACTTTTAAAAATTCCGTACGTGTTACTATTTTTTATATTATAAGGAAGCCTATTGAAGTAAGACGCTCCAATCATCAGAGGTGATTTTTTGTGGAAAGTGTGGTTCGATTTTTTTG